TCACGTCTGTTACCTATTACTCTGGGACTTTCATGGGCATGGACAGCTCTAGGTAACCAGAGTATTACTTTCATTATGCTGTTGAGGACATTGCATTGGTTGGAGAACTCACGATATGCAAAATAGACATATGAGGTGTCACCAAAGTACATATCTTTAAAGTAGTATTAAAGCACAGAATTCTTTAAATGAGCATCTTGTATCAGAATAGATCAATAGACTGGGGGTTTTCAGTTCTTTACCTCCAGAGGAGAAATCTATTATAAATATTATTTTAATTATAAAAAAGAAGTATGCAAGTTTTTTTCTGTATTAAACTAAAAAATGAATTATAAAATAATTTATCTAATATTTACCTGGCCCCAATATTTGAAAAAAAAATCATTCTGCTCAGATCCAATGTAACATTACGAATACTTGTTTTTCCAACATATGTTCCTGCAATTGCTAATGTTTGACATGTTATTGCTGAGAATGACCTGTACCAAAAAAAATTTTTTGTGTAATTCTACTGTTGGTCAAAATATTTTACTCTAAGTAAGATACAGTGTTTGAGTTCATAATAGTTAAATTAGAATTTTTATGACTGGGTCAGTATAACCAACAGTAAGTGACTAGTTCCCACTGTGACTATGTAGTTTTGGAGAAGATGNTTAATGGGACTTGAAAACACCCTTTGGTCTCATCATGACATAGCCAACTAAATTTGTATACTTAATTGAATGACATTAAATTATCAAAATACCATGCAATAAGTAAAATAGTACACTCTTTAGACCTGTGTAGTAAGAATGGCAATTCAACAACAGTTTACAAGTTTTTATTTAATGGATATAAATCTGTGGTAGTGAATGCAACATCACTGCTGATGAATCTTCCTGCTTACAGGATATATGCAACGTAATCTGTAGACTCTTTCAGATATAGAAATACTGATGAGGATATTCAGAAGTACATTCTATGACACTATAAATCCCTAGATCTCCAAACTTCTACTAAATTCAAATATATGCAACCAAGGTAGAAATTGTGTAACAGTAGGTATCAAAAATTCAAGAAACTAACAATTGTTTGGGTAGTCTTATTCATATTTTACACGGGTGGCACACTTTTGACTTTATTACTCTGGGACCAGCAATTCATCCTAGTGTTGCTTTCTGCCACTGTCAGTATCAGAATTCTGAAAGGCAGTAGCGGTTAAGACATTTTAGGATACTCAAAATGTTGTAAGTCTACTATAAAATCTTGATACTTTCATTAACTTGCATTTAAACAAAATAATGGAGTATTTTGGAGACCCAGGAAGTTTAGAATTGTTCCAAAAATGCTGGTAGGCACGATAATGCATTTGAAGCCTTTTATAAGTTTTTCTAAATATACCAGGAATAATGATGCTGTAATTTGTACTAGTGATAATGAGAATGAAAGTGAAGCAGGTTTTGCAATAGTCGTGAGAGGGAAGTGACTGCAATCATCGTCACGTCTGTTACCTATTACTCTGGGACTTTCATGGGCATGGACAGCTCTAGGTAACCAGA